GTCGGCCTTCAGGGGGGCCCCCTGGGGGGCCCCCTGGTGGGACTTCAGGGGGGCCCCCTGGGGGGGCCCCCTGGTGGGCCTTCAGGGGGGCCCCCCGGGGGGCCGACAGGGGGGCCCCCGGGGGGCCCCCTGAGATGCCTTATCCCGAGCTTGTGGCTGCGACGACTTTGGGTTTTAGGTTTGCTGCAGCCTCTTGTATTGCTTCTTCAGATCCTGTGTGGAGACAGAGTAAACCCTAAACCCTAAACCCTAAACCCTAAACTCGTATATTTAGAATAAACCCTAAACCCTAAACCCTAATTTTCAAGGTATGGTCTTTCAAACCCTAAACCCTTATTTTAAACGGCTCCTCCACCCCCCCAGCTAAAAACACTGTAAACCCTAAACCCTAAACCCTAAACCCTAAACCCTAAACCCTAAACCCTAGCCCTGAAGCCTGACCACTGCCTAGGGCCTCTGTAAGGGCTATGAGTTCTTGCAGGCCTTCTACTGGAGACTTTTGGTTTTGCTGCTGCAGCAGAGCACCAGCAGCAGCAGCAGCAGCAGCAAGGGCCCAGTCCTCTTGAGGGAACTCCACGTACACCCCGGCATGCTGAACATACACCCCAAAACCACATGCATGCATGCATGCATGCATGCATCCTCAGCCCCAACACACACCTGCATGCATGCATGCATGCATGCATCCTCAGTCCCCACACACACCTGCATGCATGCATGCATGCATCCAAAGCCCCAACACAGACCTGCATGCATGCATGCACGCATGCATCCTAAGCCACGACACACACCTGCATGCATGCATGCACGCATGCATGCATTGTGTGTTTTGTGTTTGAGTTATCTGCTGCTGCTGCTGCTGCTGCTGCGTTCTTACCTTCAGCAGCAGCAGATTTGCTGCAGCATGACAAAGCTTTCGGTGCTGCTGCAGCTCTGCTGCTGCTGCTGCTGCTGCTGCCCAGGTAGCGCGCAGCTCCGACAGCAGCTGCTTCGTTCGTCGCTTGTCCGGTGCGCGCAACTGCAGCAGCAGCAGCAGCAGCAGCAGCAGAAGAAGCAGCAGCAGCAGAAGCAGCAGCAGCCGCAGCAGAAGCAGCAGCAGCAGC